TGGGTGCTGAGGAGGGTCCTGCCGCGGCCGGGCCTCTTGGTACAGATCTGGGGTCCCGCGGAGGAGCAGCAGACCACGGGGTGGTGGGGAGGCACTGCGCGGGGAGAGGACAGGGGTTAGGGGACACCCAGCCCCCCCGGCTCTCTGCCTGGGGACATCTCGGAGGAGGCACGTCCCCCCCGACCAGGCCCTGCCAAAGCCCTCTGGGCCGCTCGCCCTTGCTGTTTCCACTTGAAATCTGTGTTTGAGCGCTTTGGCTTCATCCCCGACACCAAGCTCCAGCCCTCCTCCTCCTTTCCACACCGCTGTCACCTCCCGGTTGTCCCCCTCTGTCCCGGGATGCTCGTCCCAAGGGGCATCTGGCAGCCCCAGGAGCCTGTGCAAGCCCCAAGAGAGGAACCCCAAATTACACCCCAAGACCGAACAGCACCGCGGTTAAGGGAAGGGATGTCCAACTCCACGCTCGATTGTCCCCGAGCTGTGGGGTTTGTGGCAGCAGGGTCAGGTGTCACTTCAGCAGTGACAGAACGGTCACTGCCAGCTGGAGGCAAGTCCCCATGCTCCCCGGGGGAGCAGACAAGGCAAAAAAAACGGGACAGTCCTGATGAATTCCCACAGGACCGAATCCCCACAGACCAAACCCTGCAGTCTGGCAGGGGGCATCCACACCCACCTGATTTATGGGGGTGGCCGAGCCCGTGTTCCGCCTCGCTGTGAGCTCGGGGCGTCACGTAGCGAATGGACGTCTCCTCCAGGTACTTGTCCACCAGATCCGGACACACTGGAAGAGAGAGGGGGACACGGGTCCCTGGAGGTGGGACAGAGGGGACACACGTCCCTGGACGTGGGAGGCCAGGGCAGATCTCTCCTGACACCGCAGGCGCCGACACGTGTTTAAGCTGCTCTGTGTCCCCCCGAGCGCAGCTGCACATCAAGCGGCCGTTTCTCAGAAAAAACTCAGTTTGGGAGCCAAGCCTTCCCAACACGGCACAGGAAGGGTCGTTTCCATTTGTTATCGTACATAACCCCAACGCCCGGACCGGGAGCAGACCGGTGACGTCGCACACACGGTGACATCCCCCGGGGAGAAACTCCGGCCAAGACGGGCAGCAACTCCAGCACCGCTCCCACACCGTGCCGGCACCATACCGGGCCGCAAGTACGTGGTGATCGCTCAGACCAGCCCCGGATTCGTCCTGTGCTCCCTACGTGAGCTCCCACAGGTCTGAGCAAATGTCTGGGGCAGCAGCCACTGCTCCTCTTCCTCCTCCGCAGCCCCGGCAGAGCGGGGCCATGGGGGGGTGGCGGCAGCTCCTGGCCCCTCCCGGACAAACCCAGCTGTTTGAAACGCTTTAGGATAAACCGGTGTACGCCCGAAATGTTAAGCCTACGTTATTTACCCGACTTTAGCAAACCAAACTGTTGAAGTAACACTCTGGCAGGACACGGGGTTTTGAGGAGAGTCAAGCTGCTGAGCAGAAGCAGCTGCTGAGCAAAGATTACGGGATGAAACAAGTTCTTGTTGAGGGCTGGGATGTTTTCTGTGGGTTGTTTTCGTCCTGTTTGGTAGCAGGATCTGGGCAGGATCCCTCCCATCCCAACCCGAAGCCGGCCAAGGCTGCGGGTCTCTCCAGCCTCCCCTTGCCTTCGCCCAGCCGGCCCTGGCTGTGCCGAGCTCATTTGGGACGGGGTTTCGCTCCTTTTCAGAGCCATGAAGAAGAATGAGGCAGGAGGAGAGACGACCTGCCAGCTGCTGCAGGGTCTGGAAGGACATGGGAACCAGAAACGAGCGTTAGCTCGTTAAGTCCAGAGGAGACTTCCTGTAACCAATCAATCCCTCCTCTTTAAATGCAAAGCGCTGCGCATTATAAACCACATGTAACGTGCCTTTCTTAATAAAGCTTTTTGAAATGCTACTTCTGCCCATTTAATTAAACCATTTCCACCCAAGCGTGGCTGGAGACATCGCAAGAATGAGATCTCACGGGTACGGAGCATCGCTGCCTGCGCGGCAGCAGCATAAGAAGACGCAAACGCCGACCTCCGGCTCCCCGACCGCGCGGGTATCGCACTCTGTCTCACCCCGAAAACACCAAAACCTGACGTGAGGAGGGCTCAGCCGACCCAGGTACGGCAGCCAAGTGCCCCTTCAGTTGGATTTTTGCATCAAACAAGCAAAAAGCTGCTCAAGAAACACAAAACCAGTGCTACAACACCCCCAAACCCTAC